GATTTAAAAAAGACAAACCCGAAAAGAACAATTAACAAAGGGGGGTATATAAAAAAGAATAGAGAAAGATTCTATAAAATTATAGAAAAGTCACTACACCCCCCCTTCCCGCCCTATTAGTATCTATTTTTCATTATTTTCTCATATTCTATGCGACAAAGTCTTATAACAAAGAAAGAGGGAATCGAGGTAAGTTTGCTTATTCTACTTATTTTATTTTTTATTGAATACATTTTTTATTGGTGTGGATTAAATAAATCAGGGACTTTTTCACCACGTCCTTATTTATTTTCTCATCTACACGTGTAGAATAGAATTATTTAGATATGCAGTGTCAATCCAACGATTTGATCAGTTTGTATTTTAACTGTCAATTGAATTTATTGTATTTTTTTCCATATATTCTTTTCGCAACATTTATATTGACAACAGTGTATCGAACAAATATAATTTATTGTGATAAGTCAAGTGGATCTATTTAGTTTCGTGCCCTAGGTTTGTTTTTTTACTTTCAAACCGTGGGTTCTATTATATGCAAGGTTTTTTGATTGATTGAAAAAGTAAATTAAGGGGGGTCGGTCTATAAATTTTGATATTTATCTATTTTTTTATTTTTATTGAATTTTTTCTGAGAATTTCTTGTATTTTCATCTGCCTCTATTCATTTCATTTTTATGTTTTTGTTTTGAATGCATTAGAAAATCTTTTTTTATTTGTTAGCTCAACACTTTGATTGCCTTGTCTAATGTCCTTGTTGAATTTGTTTTCATTCTGATTGTATCTATACACTTAATATATTAAATATATTATATTTTATATTATATTTTATATTTTATAGATTTTTTTAATTTCTTTTTTTTTTATTTTAATTTATTCTTCGGGTTGCTAACTCAACGGTAGAGTACTCGGCTTTTAAGTGCGGCTAGCATCTTTTACACATTTAGATGAAGCAGGGGATTCATCTATACCATCGGTAAAGTTTGAAAGACCACGACTGATCCTGAAAGGGAATGAATGGAAAAAACAGCATGTCGGATTGAGGGAGAGTTCTGAGAATGTTTCATTTTTACCGGAACAATAGAAAAGAAAAACCCGGTTCGAATTCTTGGAATGGAAGAAAATAAAGTTGGGTTGAATGAATAAATGGATAGGGCCTCGCGGCTTCAATTAATTATAGGGAAAGATAAAGAAACGAGCTTCTGTTCTGAATTTGGAATAATTTCCTGATCTAATTAGACGTTAAAAATATATTAGTGCCCGGTGCAGGAAAGCTTTCACTCCCATGAGTGAATTCTCAATTTTTCGACGAATCCTAACTATTCTAACTCTCCATTATGAAACGGAGATGTGTGTGTAGAAGAAGCAGTATATTGATAAAGAAAATTTTTCCGAAATCAAAAGAGTGATTGGGTTGAAAAAATAAAAGATTTCTAACCATCTTGTTATCCTATAACATAGACTAAAAATGTAAAAAAGAGAGGATAGAGAATCTGTTTATAAGTTTATACTCGCCCCCGAGGTATCTTTTATTACTAAAATACTTTGTTTTGCTCGGTGAACCGTAATAAAAGACAAAAAATTGAAAGGTGATTGAAATTGAAGATGATATTCCACTACAATCCTTCAAAACCAAAAAAGGGAGAGCAAGAAATAATGCATCCAAACTCAAAACTCAATTGAAAAAGAAGATAAAAGTCGAGAAAGATTAAAGCACTAATGATTACTACTTCATGTTTAATATCTTCTCTTTTTCTTTATCTTACATTCAATAAGATTGCTTTGCATTGCTCACTTTTCAAAATTTGGTAAAACGCAATTCCCACACTTCTATTCCCAAATCTACATGCATTGCCCAACCTATTGCTTCTTCACAAGAAATATGAAACGACAAACTTCAAGAAGATAATAGAGTAGGTATACTCTTTAACTTTAGAAGCTTACCTCATCAAGCCTTTACACATCATTAGATGAAAGTATGTATAACATAGGAGTTGTTTGAGTTTTGGGTGATACAGCAAGTTAGGCCAAAATAATTTTAGATCGTAAAAATGGAAAAATGGCAGAGAGAAGTTTGAAAGGTGTGAAGTAGATCCAACATTCTTAAATCACCGACAACTAACACATATCCCAATTTAGGTACTGACCATAGCAATCCAGATAGTATCTATTAGACAATGTTGACACGTATCCCAATTTAGATACTGACAACTATCATACACCAATCACCAGTATTCCAAATAGTATCTATCGGGCATTGACTACCTATGTGAGTAGCCAAAAGTCAATAGCAACCATCAAGATAGTATGTATCCTTCATCAAACAAAATCAAAACCAAAACACCCTGACTAAAATCAAACAAATTTCTTCCACAAAACTTCTAAGAATTTTCTACACTTATTAGGTTGGATCATTGTATTCATTTACATTCAAAGTAAACTTATTCTCAACAAATATCATATTAGAGGTTATTATTTGAGGATGGCAACTAATTTTATTGGATGCCCATTTCAAGAATATATAGATAGCTCTACATGTTTCAAGGTAAGTTCCTAAAAAGTATTAAAATTATAAATACATTAACTCTTATTAGTTAAACATTCAATTCAAATCTGTCTGATCTACAAATACTGAAAACCCAATAGGGCAAGAAGAAATTAAAATTTTAGGAAAATGATTGCCACAAAGCATAAGGAGTTTAAATTCCTCATCAAGTGGAACAGGATTGGCCACTCCTTTAATGGACATCTATCAATGGTGGCAATAGCATTTGAGCAACTACCAAATACAAACAAAAGAAGAAAAAGGCACTCCAGCTATTGCATCTAAACAACATGCTCGGCGAAGTGTAATAAAAGACAAAAATTCAAAGGTGATTGAAATTGAAGATAAATGGTAAATTAGGCATAGTATTCATTCTTGGAAGTGGTGTAGACTTTTCGTTCTATGCTTGCTACCACAACAAAAAAACTGCAGCAAGAATTACAAGAAGTAATGTGTTGACAAAAAATTTAGCCATTGCTAGTTTTGTTTCTTACGATTCTAAGGTGTAGTTGACGAGCGTGGGGTATGGATATAACCGGAGAGCTTAGTCTACAGTTAAATTTTATATTTATAAATTTCTAAACACCCCACATGTGTGTTCGCAAGTATACAAGTCGTGATTGAATACATGGTATTAAGGGTCAAACCTATATAGAAGAATAGACAACTACCGACACTACAAATCTCCTCTATTATTTAGATGATTAACAAAATGAAAGAAATAAAACTAAACTACAATGTGCAAGAAGATACAAATAAAAGCTCCTTAGGTTATGATATCTCTAACTACTCATGTAAGTGCAAATTTTCAAATCATTGAGTACTAATATCCTGGCTAACTATGATGTAATTTTTTTATGCATGTGAAACATACTCTTGTAGTGAATCAACTATACGTATAACTAATCCATACTTACTCTCGTGGTTATAAAATTAGCTATTAGTTTATTAGTTTCTATTAAGTGTATATTTTACGTGTTTTTAATATATTTTATTAGTTAGTTTTAGTGTGTTTTATTTACTTTTATAGCTAATGAACTAGGTTTATAGTGAAAATATACATTTTGTGGTTTAAATGGTAAACATTGCATTTCTATGGACATTAATGGAGAAAACTTCATGCTTTTGTAGGTTTAATGATTCAATCATCAAATGGAGTGACTTGAGAAGATAATTGGATGATTCATGATGGTTTGAACTGATAAAAAGAGAATATGAAGTGCAAAAAAGAAAATACAATCTAGAACAAAAGGAAGCAATTTCACAGTTTTGACATCTTGTAGTATTTCAGCAATATCTTCAGCTATAGTCATCTGATTGAGGTGATTCTTGTACCATTTTGAACCTAAGAGATATATCTACATTTGGTGTGAAGACATTGAAGCCTAGTTCAGTCTTTTTCCTAGTCAAAAAGTCAAAATATAGAAGTGCAACTTTGTTGTCGAAAACTGAAATAGAGCTCTAACCAGTTGAGGGTATTTTGGTCATGTCTCGGTCCACAGAACTCCAAATTGGATGATTCTTGAGGCATTGGAAAGCTAACTCAAAGGGTTATAACTTTCATATTTTACACAAGAGCTAGTTTGGCCTCTAACATTGAGAAAATAATAGTTGAAGTGGTGCCAAATTCATAGAAGTGAAAATGCGACCCTTGAATACGTGGCTTGAAGTCGCGTATTCCTCAATTTCGGCTACAACTTGCTCTGTAACTTGTGTTTTGTTCACACAAGCTTTTTGACCCATTTTCTGGCAAGAATATCAGTGGCAATAGCCTAATACAGCTGCAAAGGAAGCTTTACAACTCAAATTTAATTTGTTTATGGGTTCAAGAGGAATCTTAACATGATTGTCACTTTGTCTTTTGCATGGAATTCTTTTATAAATAGCAACTTTTGAAGACCATTTTCACAACTTTGGAAGGTTAGAGAAACTCACCAAAAATGTAGTCTTCACTAGAGTTTCCTTAGTTCATTAGTTAGAGTAATATAGTATAGTTAGTGTAGTTATCCTTCTTGTATTTGTAATTAGATTTGGATGAAGATTTGAAGAGTAAAGATGGAGAGTTTAAAACTCATGTGACAAGGGCGGCTTTTCTTCTATCATTTTTTCTTTTGTATTTGATTTCATGTTTGACTTTAATACAAGTTTAATGTTTGTTTTCATGTTTTGCTAAAGTTTATGCTTAGAGTACGGGTGAACTTTCTATATCTTGTTAAAGATGTTTACTTGGTTATTTGATGATATTATTTTGAACAAGTTATTTATCACTTTTGCTTAGCTAATTGTGACGGCCCCACCTCCCCCTAAGGCGAACGAAAGGGTTTAGCGGACCGCCTGCCCAACTCACGCCGGGACTCACTCACTCACTACAATCCTCAAATAAATTACAAGATAATCTCAAATATACATCACATATTCCACAAATTTTCATATCATAGGCGGAGCGAATACTTCTCAATTACACTTCAAACTAAAACCTCAAGATATAAAAGCAATATAAATTTCCCGAATAAGACAAATGTCCTCAGTTCTCACATAATTACAAGTACAATCGCAGTCCTCAAAACTTTACAAGGCACAACGCAAATAATATAACAACTTCTCCAAAAATTACATATCATAAGCGAAGTGGAAACTAATTCTAAGCGTGGAACGTACACATACACCCACTTCAATTCCAAACGGTCATACTAGCCCAACTATTACACAAACTGAATCCAAATCTAAACTGTACAAGAAATATGCCATCCAGTCACACAAATAACGTAATACAAAAGCTTCATTTGCCTCGATCCCTGTGGGAGAAGAAAGCATTTGGGGTGAGTTAGAAGCTCTGTGAGTGACCAGTAACATCAGTAATCAAATAAGCTTTACAATAGTGCATTTGAATGATATCAAGAATTAGTGATCAAATGTGCGTATATTGCTCTTTGGAGCCCGTGAAATCCTTGTACTTAAATATCCAACGCTCCCTTAAATCAAGTAACAGATAAACAGAATTAAGGAGCCATCGTGCTCCAAAGAATGCGTAAACAATAGTGGAGACGTTGGTTTTAAGCACAAGATTTTCCCAAGAACTCATCGGAGCCAAAATGTCATGGCACACACACAAACACAATGAGATGCAATCGTGTAACCAATGCAAGAATTATGTCAAAAGTAACTTTGGAAATAGTTGAGGGATCACTCACCAACCAGGCTCGCGAACCTTATCCATCATACATCATTGCCTTGCTCAAGTCGAAACCCTAGATTACAAATATCAGGTCAAGCAAAGGAATTCTAACATTATCAAGCTTCTATCACCTTTTGGCATTTTAACCACAATTGAAGCTACACTTATCGGATTGAAATGAATCTTATGGCGTTACGAAGCTAAGACATATACCAACATTTCTTATGAAGACTTCTAAAGCCAAATTATGCATTTTCATGGTCAAAAATCGAAATTTCGGAGAGGACAGAAAACTGTCCACAAAACAGGGTCTATGAACAGTTGAGGGTATTTCGGTCATTTCATAGGTTGCAGTACTCCGATCGATCTGAAATTTTGCAGGTAGATAGCTAACTCACATATCTACAATTTCCATGTTTTGAACAAAAGTTGGTTTGGTCTAAAACATAGAGAAATGTGCAGTCCAAGTTAAATCCAGAAACATGGTAAACGGAAATTACACTTCTAAACTATCCTTTGCATATAACCATTACTAGCAGCAATTAAGGCTAGAAATTCCACCTTAACACTAGAATAAATTCCGCTAACCATGTACATGCCAAAATCAAAGAGAAAATAACTCAGATCAAATCTAGAAATATTGCTAATATGGAACTTATCCTCCCAACTTCCGAATCACAAGAATTTCCATAAAATTAATCAAAATCAACTCAAATTCAAAACAATAAAATACTCTCAAAGATTGGACAGCATTTCCCCTTAATTTTTTTATTTTCCAACCTACAAACATTCACCAAATATATCTCAATTCAATCACAATATCACATACAAATCACAAACTATTTAACACCCCTAATTAGGGTCTTTATACCCTTCAATTTAGGCCAATTAATAGCTCCAAAATCATTCACAATTAAGCCCCAATTCGAAACCCTAAAACCGAAATTTTCGCACAAAATCTAAATTTTTCCGTAATTAACTACAATTAACACGCCAAAGCTTCACTTTAGACCATATTAAGCCATCATCCATGGCTAAGCAACACTTGTCATATAAAATCAGAAAAATAGTGAATAAATTCAGAAATTTATCAAACTCTACTAAAAATCACCAAATCTTCCACAAAATAACATCTTTAACCTTTACAAGTCACTAATTTACCATTATTAGAACAAAGGAAAATTTTCAAGTAAAGTACCTTGTAAACTCAAGAGAGATAATAGCTTAGAACTTCCCCTTCTCTAAAGACTCCATCAATAGCTTGCAATCACCTTAGATATGAAATGAATTGGAGCAATTTGCAAACCTAACGGTTAGATTACAAGATATAAGTAAGAGTGGAAGAAAAAGTTTGAAGGTTTCCTTTCTTTTCTCTCCATGAAGCTCGGCCAAGAGGGAGCAAGAATGGAAGATATTTTGGGCCAAAAGCAAGATAAGAACAAAGAAAAACAGCCGGTCAAACCTGGTTGCGGAGGTGACACGTCAGAATCCGGTCGGAGTCTGGCCAGATTTTCGGCCGAATTTCTGGCCGGATACATGCCACGTCACAATCCGGCCGGATTTCTGGCTGGATACAGGGCAGTAGCTGATCAAAAAATTTTTAAAACTCCAAGCCAATCCAGCCAGGTATCCGGCCAAGAACTGGTCGGATTTCCGGCCGGATTCTCCACAAAGCACTGTTCACTAGAATTTTTTTCCTTTCTTCTTCTCTCGGGCGTCACACTAATCATGATTAACTGGTCATTAATTGTGATAATCTAAAGGTATTAAGTTTGCAATGAGAATTGCAATTTAACACTAGTTCAAGGAAGTGATAAATCTAGGGAGTTCACTCATAAGAGTAGAGGTGCATCTATGTGGATTTAGTGATTTGTTTCATGTAATTTAATAAAAAAAATGAGTTTGTAGTTAATTCATAACCATGAGAGTAGGTATAGTTTAGCTATAAGTATAGTTGATTCACTACGAGAGTAAGTTTCACATACATTAGGAAATTATGCCATAACTAGTCAAGATAATAGCATTCACTTAACCAGTAATCTCATTAGGGAGAGTAATAAGGAATTCCATACATTTAGGAGATTTTTAGTGTTAATTTTATTACTTTAACTACATGCTTATAGTTTAAATAATAAAGGAGTTCGAAAATCACCGATAATTGAAAATCTTCTCTGTGGGATTGACCCTTAATACCCTATACTCGCTCACGACCTGTATACTTGCAGAAAATCACGTGTGGGGTATTTAGTATGCTATAAATATAAAACTTGATTGTGGATGAGCTAATTGTATATGTATACCCCGCACATGTCAGTTTCTATGAAATTACATGAAATAAATTACTAAAGTCACAAAGGTGTATCTTTACTCTCATGAGTATATTCCCTAGATTTAGCACTTCCTTGAATTAGTGTTAACTCCCAAATTTTATTGAAAAAACATCATCTTTAGATAATTATAATTAATGGTACCAAGTTAATCATTATTAGAGGAGTAAAAAGGCTAAATAACTTGTTCAAAATAATAGGATCAAATAACCAAGAAATCAACACAATACAATCATAGAAAGTTCAACCAAAATCCAATGTCACGCCCCAAAATCGGGACATAACATCACCTTGTCTAGAGTCAAAACCAAATGACTAAATCTTTGTACTTACTAACTTCTAAATCTTCCTACCAAGTACATCTCAAGCAATTGGCATAACCCAAAATTCAATATTCCATACAAAATACAACCATTCACTATCATCATCTAATTCTATATACAAAAGTTACCAAACAAAATAGCCAAAGACAGAATGATCTAAACAAGTCTTTAGTCTTCCTTACAAGCTCCCATACCTGATCATAAATATTCCCGTAAAATCCATCCTTCACTAGAAATATTAACAAATGAAGTGAACAAATCACTTGCCCAATAAGTAGATCATGTACTTATCTATCAGTATGAGTAAGCTAATATCAAAATAAAATTTAAAACAAAATTGTCATATGAGTACATAATTATACAAATTCAGTAATTAACAATTTATTACAATAAGCTCATGAACTCTCGGTCTCTATCAATAACCGGTTATTCAATTCTGACTATTTGTCTCGTCAAGTAGGCCAGACAAAAGGTTTCTAACTATTTGTTCCTCTAGGTAGTCCAAACTGACAGATGTGGTGAAACTAGTTCTATAGATAGTAACCAAAAAACCATGAGTTCATAGTGCAGAACATACATTACATTTAGAATTCAGAAACAAATCATATTCATCTTTATCATAATTCTTCGTATGTCAAAGCAATAAATGTATTCTCACCCATGCCGAATTTCATGTGGCATAAGCAGTTGAAACTATTTTCATTCATAAAACTTGAGTTGGAAATGTAGTGAGTACCAAAATCACTTACCTTAGCCAAACAAACCAATAGCCAACTCAACTCCAATAATCCTTGTAGTACATGTCCTCCCCATTTATAAACAATTCCAAATTACTTAACTTGAGAACTATGAAATGAGATATATAGAAAATTGCTTCCCACACCTATAAGACGAAAACCTAGTATCCATTCTATTTGCTATGTCCAATGTATAATTATAAGTTCAATACCAAAATATACAAGGGATTATTCCAACCAGGCAATCCTAATTTCCATTTCCAACCAAGTTTCAGGTGCAAAATAAGTAAATTTAACCCAAAGTTAACTACCACTAACTCTACAACTATATACATGACCCATAACTTAATTCTAACAATCAAAATAACCTCAAATTTCTAGGAGAAACATCAACAAATAAGAGATACAAATCAAGAATCAATATAATATGTTATAACAATACTACATAAAGCATCAAACCAAATAGTTCATCTATAGCCCAAAAAACTCAAATGAAACTAATCATGAATACCAATGTTTAGTAGTCTTGAGAAGTTAAATAAACCTCCAATAAACTAAATTTAGGCAAATAAAATCAAAGGCTTGAAATTCCAAGAAAATAGAAAATTTTGACTAATTTTTAAAAATTCATCTTACATCCAAAAGCATGAAAATGTAACTGAAGATAGCCCATAAGAAAATGAACAAATTAATATTTTTGGTTTTCAAAATTCTAAATATTTTGGGAGAAAAGTTGAAAATATTAAACTACGGTGAATAGTACTCGCTGAACATTTGACCGGCCATTGCCGGCAACTCCGACGACTAAAAACATGAAATTCAATGAGGAGGTGCTTGAGGTCATGGGCAATCAGATGGTGGGGCGCATACACAATACCGTCATTCTACCGATGGCAAATTGAACCTCTAAATTTTGGTGTTTTTGAGGAGAAAAATAAAGGAGGAAGAAAGGAAAGAGAAGAAAAGACAAAAGGAAAGAAAGACATTGGACAAATGTGTGTATGTCCAATTGATACATAAGAGTGGGAGAGAACTTTTATTTATTTGCTATTTGAGTCCCTCAATTTTCTATGTCTTCAAGTTTCATCTCTAATTTCTTTGGTTTTCTTTTAAAACTCCCATCTCGGGATCTGGGTATCTGATTCTCCCCTCCTCATAAAAGTTTCGTCCTCGAAACTTAACCCGTAAAAATGCTCAAAATTATAAAGCCATCATCCAAGTTTAATGAAATATATCACTCTAAATGCACATATTGCGATTTCATACTACTTACTACAAATTATCCCTTCCAAGTTTTTCTATCCTTTCTCCAATAATATAGAAATATGAAGCACCTATTTTCCATTACATTTCCTTATGCCAACATGAGCTGCAATCTTCCAGAGTATTTTCAATCAATCAACTCTATGTTTATTCAACTTAAGTACATTCTACAATATCAATTTGACATTGTGGTAAACCCCATGTTAAACACAATCCTTTCATCCTATAATAGTTAATTCATGTTTTGATTTCTATATTGACCTTACATCTCAAAAGTAATTTGTACTATATATTAACCCAATGCAATTAAGTACATTTCAACATGAAGTCCTAATAATATTCCTCAGTCAACAATCACTTTCAACGGAATCATCAAGTCATGACTTCAACATTAGTTTGTCCTCACTTCCAAACTTCAATTTAATAGGATCAGGGTGCCTTGTAGTATGACTAATAAATCAAACTTACTAACTTTTAAATTTCCAAATATGATCTCATCCTCTTCTACTTCTTACCATCAATAATTGTTATGCCAACTCCTTATAAAACATGTTACAATAAGCATTTCCTTAGACCCAGAAACTGCAACATTTCATCATAATATCATTGCCCTAATAATCATAACCTGCTCCACATATTACATTTCTCTGAATTCCACTACAAAATAATTTATTTTTTTATTCTCACCCATCTAACTCTTGGCTTAATAGTTAAAGCACCATTAACGTGAGCCTTGTCTTAATCTTATCCATCTTCTTATTCTATGGTGTACCATTTCCAATATCTAGGTATCATTAACCTTCCAACTAGTTCCTAACAAAATTTCAGAATATTTCATTGTAGTGCCTAACGATTGGCTATCATATCTGAAATTAAAACTTGAATATACAGTACAATATCTTCCAAAAGTCAACAACAATCCTATAGAGAAATCAATGCTTAATGATAAATTCAATCTTGCATCATCAACCAAACTAATATATCTTGAAAAACTTGCATAAGATCAATGTGACAATATATATATATATATATATATATATATATATATATTTATTGAAGCTCTAAGAAGAGGCCATAAAAATCATCCAAATAATTCAAACAAGAAGAAATTCTCAAATTCTAAGTTGCTTTCAAAGCCAAACTTTTAGTCAACTTTAAAGATCAATAGCTAGGATGCTGAAAAAATAAAACATTTGATTAAAAACTTTTTGAATCAAACTTCATACATAATAAATAACACTTGATTAACATGCTTAAACAAGAACTACCGAGTATACTCCAAAAGTCAAGTAAAACTGGCTCCATTGATGAAAAGTATGTTATAGTTCTTCCAATAAGTGACAGGTTATACCTAATATCATAAGAAAATATCATACATTCCTTTCAGTCATGAATCCTTAAATCTTACTAAATACAATATAAAAATCCTTCGCTACCCGCACAAATAAATAGCTTATAACTTTTAAACTATGACTGTCTACATATATACACAATTATAATCAAGTCTACATTTAACACTAAATGGACTTGTATGGCAAACAAGTTTTTGCCCAAATTTGTCTTCTACAAGTTTTTTAACAACTTTAACTACATTAACCTCAAAACTCCTCAAAATTTTTAAATTATACACTTCAAAATACTCAAAAATTTACACACTTCAAAATTTTTTCCTGTAACTTCAACAATAAAGTTTTAGACAAATACCCAAAAAACTCATTTGCCAAACAAGGATAACATCTACCAATATACTTCATGTATAATAAAGACAATGTTAGTCATCAATCTTACATCAAGTTACTTCAATAACTTCAAGAAATATTCAATACCATTAATTATCGTGTCCTCTCTATATAACTAATATTACATACATCAAAATATTTATACAATAAATCTTTTCCGCTAAGAAAGGTCTATTTCATACTAACTATCGTGTATGATCATCCCAACATAGCTATGGCAATCTCTTCAAGTGCATTTACTAATTCAAACACATCATCAATAGAACCACACAATGCCAACAAGGATATCTTAGTGAATTGCAAATCTACTACTTCCAATTACAAACCAAATAGTATAATCATTACATAAAGACATCAATGGCTCTTTAAGTATTCTAGATGAAATCAAATATCTCATACATTGGGTTTTATAATAACTTAACAACTAAGAAATTTTTTTTCCCTACTGGACATTAGCTCCAAATAATCCTACAAAAAAAAAAGTTAAGATACCACACTTAATCTGTAACTTAAAAATCACATCCAACTATATACAAATGTATAGTAATATCAAAACACTAAATGATAATCTTAAAACTCAATGATATCTTATATGAGTGCCCCAGTCTCTGCTATTTCTACAAATTTTGTTCAGAATTCTTAACTACTACATTCCAAATCAATCATTTACATACTTTTTCTCTCACTATTATGTTTTTTTCCACCAGCTCAATACAATAAATTCTCAAATAACAAACCATGTATAATCATCACGATATTTTAAAAAATTCACATAATATACAAACTAATCCCACAATCTGGCATCCTAAACCTTTAATCTAGGATACACCACAGTGATTCGAATCCAAGCTCTGATACCACTAAATGTCACGCTCCAAAATTGGGACATAATATCACCTTTTCTAGAATCAAAACCAAATAACTACAACTTTGTACCTGCTAACTTCTAAATCTTCCTACCATGTACATCTTTAGTAATTGGTATAACCCAAAATTCAATATTTCATACAAAATACAACCATTCACTGCCATCATCTAATTCTATACACAAAAGTTACCAAACAAAACAGCCAAAGCAAGACTGATCTAAACAAGTCTTTAGTCTTCCCTAGAAGCTCCCATTCCTGATCATACATCTTCTCGAAAAATTCATCCTTCACTGAAAATATAAACAAATGGAATAGGTAAATCACTTGCCCAATAAGTAGCTCAGGTACTCGTCTATCAGCATGAGTAAGCAAATATCATAATAAATTTTAAAACACAATTGTCATATGAGTACATATTTATACAAGTTCAATAATTAATAATTTATCATAATAATCTCATGAACTCTCGATCTCTATCAATAACCGGATATCCGATCCTGACTATTTATCCCATCAGGTAGACCAGACAAAACGTTCCTAACTATTTGTCCCACTAGGTTAGCCAAACAAACAGATGTGGTGGAACTAGTTCCAAAGATAATAACCAAGAAACCACAAACTCATAGTGCAGAACATACATTGCATTCAGAATTCAGAAATAAATCATATTCACCTTTATCATAATTCTTCATATGTCAAAAGTAGTAAATGTAATCTCACCCATGCTGAATTTCATATTAACGTAAGGAGTTGAAACCATTTTCATTCATAAAACTTGAGTTGGAAATCTAGTGAGTACCAAAACCACTTACCTGAGTCAAACAAACCAATTACCTAGCTCAACTCAAGTAATCCTCGTACTACATGTCCTCCGCACCTATAAACAATCCCAAATTACTTAACTCGAGAACTATGAAATGAGAAATATAGAAAAATGCTTCCCATACTTCTAAGATGAAAATCTAGTATCCATTCTATTTGCTATGTCCAATGCCTAATTATAAGTTCAACACCAAGATATACAAGGGATTATTCCAATCCACAACCATGCAATCCTAATTTCCATTTCCAACCAACTTCCAGGTGCAAAATAAGTAATCTTAACCCAAATTCAACCAACCCATGATCTAACTACTACCAACTCTACAACTACATACATGACCCATAACTTAATTCTAGCAATCACAATATTCTCAAATTTCTAGGATAAATGTTAATAAATAAGAGATACATTATCCCAACCAAATCAAGAATCAATATAATATGTTATAACAATAATACATAAAGAATCAAACCAAATAATTCATCTATAGTCCAATAAACTCAAATGGAACTAATCATGAATACCAATGTTTAGTAGTCTTAAGAAGCTAAATAAACCTCCAATAAACTAAGTTTAAGCTAATATAATCAAAGGCCTGAAATTCCAAGAAAACAGAAAAGTTTGACTAAAATTCATCTTACATCCAAAAATCATGAAAATGTAACTGACGATAGCTCATAAGAAGATCAGCAAATTGATATTTTTAATTTTCCAAAATTCTATATATTTTAGGCGAAAAGTTGAAAATATTAAACTGCAGTGAATAGTACCCGCCGAACATTTTGACTAGCAATTGCCGGCAACTCCGACAACCAAAAAAATTTGATGAGGAGGTGCTTGAGTCATGGGGTAATCAGATGGTGTGGTGCGTGCATAGTGCCATTGCTCTGGTGATGGCTAATTGAACCTCTAAATTTTGGTATCTTTGAGGAGAAAAACAAAGGAGGAAGAAAGGAAAGAGAAGAAAGATAAAAGAAAGAAAGACATTGGACAAATGTGTGTATGTCTGGTTGATACATAAGAATGGGAGAGAACTTTTATTTATTTGCTATATGAGTCCCTCAATTTTTTATATCTTCAAGTTTCATCCCTAATTTCTTTGATTTTCTCTTAAAACTCCCAACTCGAGATCTGGGTATCTCATCCAAGGTATGAAATTTTAGAAATATATAATGAAACACAAATCCAAAACTTGAATATTAAGTGCACATAAGAATCATAAAGAGTTGGAAAAAAGAGAACCCTTGTCACATAAGTTTCATCCCCTCATTCTTTATCTCCATCTTCATCTAAGTTTAACCAATGTACAAGAGTGGATAACACACATTATTATCTAAATTATACTATACTATTCTATAACTAAGAAAGTGTAAGAGTTACATTTTTGTTGTGTATTCTTACACTCTCTAAGCTCTCCATTGACTCTTGTAACTCGGGTGTTTTTATAGAAAAAGACTGGTCCAAAAGAGCATTCTAGATCCTCCATTTTTACAACTAAAAAGTCTGTAAATTTGCCCCTCAAAAGATGTGAAATAATAGAGTTGAAATCAAGTTGTACAAATTGCAACTGTAACATTTGACCGGAATCCCTCCGGCAATCAGACCGGATTCTAGGAAGGATTCCTCCCTTCTTTCTGTTTGTTCCACCCAATATCTGTTATCCAGAAGCAACAATTACCAAGGAAAATCATTTTTAAGGAACTGAGAAATAGTTTTACTAGCTAAATAGGAATCACGATCAGTTAAAGTAGTCATTTTGATGCTAGGGATATGATGCTTTTTTGTGTTTATTATTCATCTTATTATTTTTTGTGTGATTAAAAATGACTAAGATCGTATTTTCTTCTTCTGTTTTGAACTTTGGCCAAGATGTCAATATTTGGGACTTGGTGTTTGATGAAAGAGTCCTCACTATAGTACTTCGCATTGGAATGATTGCTTGCATTTTTTGTAAGGATTTTAAACTAAGATTTGGCTAGGGGCACTCATTAAGCGTGTTTATTTTTTGTAAGAGTGCAATTAACTTGAGAATTTATTAAATTATAGAAGTGTAATAAATATGAATAACGATGTTCAAATAATACTGTTAGCTACCGTAAAAGACTTTAAGTGCCTTTGTGGAATTGGAAATCAAGGATTCGAACATTGCCTCCCATTAATTGTCACTTAATATGTGGTTTCTTTTAAATTTAGCACATGTTGTAGAGTACCCATCTTGATCATTCAAGTGTGTTGGGGAGTATCTAATATGAAGTCTCTAAAGCATTGGTTTTAACTAAACATACCAATTTAAGCCCACACCCAACAATCCGCCCAACCCACCCATTAATTTAGAAAGATTGGGTTGGGTTGGATCAATTGAGTTATAGGTAAATTTTAAGTTGGATGTGAGAAGTCCACATAATCTTTGGGTGGGTTGAGTTTTTCATTAGGATCCCAAAAAATCCAAATATGTCAATGAGAAAATCCAAGTGTTCCAACAATACAAACTCTTACATAGTACCCAAATTTTTATTATTTTTTTAAATTTCATTCTTTTATTACAACCAACATTTGTTTTTCCCAATTTCATTCTTTGTCAAAACGTTAATTTTCATTTAATTTCTCCTTTTTCTTTTCATTTTTTCACCATTCTTCTTCCTCACAAAAACACAAGGCAACCATGGCCATGAAGTTTTAGTTGCAGGCTTTGGTCACCGCCACTGGCTGTCAAAGTATATAACTATACCACAAAAGGAAAACAAGAAGTATTAAGTAAATAAAAGCAAAAAAAAAAGGCAATCAAGAACTCGTCAAAGGGGAGGCAATGGAGTGATCAAGAAGTCTAGAAAAATTTTCTAGACACATTTTTTCTCCGAAAAAAAAACAAGATATACCTCAATAACAATATATTCATGAAGATAAAAACTTTAAAGTTGGACATCTCGTCTCTTTGTTGAACCAATGCAGGGAACGGGAGCAATGGAGAATTAGAATCCAAAATCTTAAGTTCTGATATCTCAATTTTCACTAGTAGAGCAAGACAACATCAATAACTACAAAAAACCTGTAGACACCAAATTTTTCTTAAATTCAAGTCTACTATTACTATGTTACTTTTATTTTTATTTTTCACTTAAATTGCTTGAACAATTATTTTAATTTTTGTTTTGTAGGTTTGTGCAAAAAGAAAGAAAATCAAAAGAAAAACGAATGTTCAAAATTGGAGATTTTGGTAGACGTTTTTCTTGTGTTTCAAACCTAATAGAAGAAAATCCACACCTAACCACAAAGCTTACACAAAAATCTACACAAAACCCAACCAAAAAACCTGAAGTAGATTTTTTTCATTCATTCTTTCTCCCCAAGGTCTGGTTGGTATAAGCACAACTCATCATCCAAATTCTGTCCTTTAACACCTACCAAAAATGGATCAAAAGAAGGGAAATGGGACACATAATCCTACTTTATCCTAACCATTAATTTTAGGTTTTAGAAGTTTTTGTCCCATAAACTCTCAACCCCTAAAACCTCTCTGGATTTTCTCTCAATTTTTTCAAGGCTAAAGACAACTCACCAAGAGGGGGAAAAAAAAGAACACTCACTCTCGGCCTCTCCCTCTTTCAATCACACATGGACTAACACACACAAAACAATGACAAAAAAAATCTCTCTCTCTCTTTTTCTCGACTCCCTCTCTTCCCTTTCCCTATACATATTCTTCCACAAATCAAACACAAGGGAAAGCAAGCAATTGGATGTGAGGGGGGCTAGAATTTTATCAAAAAAATTTAACCAAGATCATAAGAGGTACTATCGCTTTCATTGAACTATTTTTCAGTTTTTTTAATCATGTCAAATCCATGTTTTGCTATTTAGTTTCTCTTGCCTTTGCTGTTCTTTGTTGTTGTTGTTGTTGTTGTTGTTGAAAATTCAGGATAGGTCACAAGTAAGATTAAGGAAAGGAAAATGGTTTCTGTTTATGCATATAAAGTGTTTGAAAAATGCCAAAATGAAAAATCAAATTAAGTTGGGTTGTTTCTTATTCATTTAAGGCCTCAGTGACACTTTAGGATCCATAAGATTTTTTTGGAGTAGATTTTATGAATTTTAATGGTGATTATAGTGGTTCTAAACAATGTAAACTGGACTATTTTTGTCAATTTTGCCACTTTTTGCTTGTTTTTTGCAAAAACAAAGGCCGGAAACGAATTCTATCCAAAAAATCTAGTGGAGAGGCATTTTGTTGAGTTTTTGTGATCAAAAATATTGTCAGAGGCCAACGACGATCCGGCAGTGACGGCGCCACTGGCGTCTGCCATGGACACCAGCCGTTGAAGCTTGAAGTCCATTAGAGAAAAAAAGAAAGAGAGGGAAGAAGAAGAAGAAGAAGAAGAGAAGAAAAAAATGAAAGAAAAAATAAGAGTGGACTGGAATTTTTTTCGTTTGAGCTTGTGTTTCATTTCTTATTGGACTTGTGAGTGGGCTTTCATGTTAAACCCAAAATTTCTATTCTATTTAAATTTGTTTAAATTTTTTTTGGGTTTGCTCACTTTTTAGTGAAAATGGCCTACATATTTCTTGGGCCAAAGTGACACGGCCCAAATGAATGAAAATGCAGAAACAAATTTTATAATTTAGCTCCTAATCTTTTGAGTAATTTCATTGTGCTCCTTATATTTTAGATTTCTTTCACTTAGGTCCTTAATTTAATTATATTTTGGTCCATAAATTTTATTTTTATTTAATTTTGACCTCTAATCTTTTGAGAATTATAATTTAACCCCAAAACTTTTTATTTTTGCAATTTAATCCCTTATAGTTTTTGGTTTCTCAATTACAATTGTTTCTTTTCTTTAATTGCTAATTGTGCTTCATTTAAATATATTTAATTTGTAAATTTTGATTAGTTTATATTTATTAAATATATTCTTTGAAAGTAAAATACCCGTAAAGAACCAATATTTTAAATAGTTAATGTGTATTTGCCTATAGACTATATTTCTTAAAGTTTATTAATTAATAATTGATTTATAGTACTTTGTCATTCATTGAACATGTAGCACAAAGGACAAATCTGGTATAAAATTCTAATTTCACTCCCTAAAGCAATATTTTAATCGTTTGGACTGAATTTGCAAAGGATTAGTAACCTCAGGGGAGGTCAGTGTAATTTTTCAAACCACAGGGGAGGTCAGTGCAAATGTCAGAAACCTCAGAGGAGGTTTCTGCAATTATCCCTTTTTTTTTCCTAAAACGATAGAAGTTTTTATTTCTACTAAAAGAGAACATTACAATATATGAGCAAGGGTTCAAACTTGGACTTTACAAAAGTGTACTAAGACACCAAGGATCAAAGAACACCTCATCAAAGGGAATGTGCATTGCTTTCTTACTCAATTTATCACTGAGTGTATTAATACTACTATTACCAGGCTAACTATTAAATGAGCATGTCCTAAACATTGAGTTAAGATCTTTTATGTATTCTAGGTGGGCTACTATACGTATATTGCCTGGGGCTTGACAGTTTATCAAGCTCTGTTCGATGTATGTGAATAGACAAACTTGCATAAATACATTTTTATACAGGCTTCTATTTTTTGTTACAAGCAATTCTTGACATATGGTGTGCAACTTCTTTGCCAAGCTTGGCAGTTGCACTTATGGAACTCTCCATCACGGGTACTCTTTCTGTCCATTATTTGCTGATACAAAGTTGGTTTACTAGCTTGTCTAATTATAATGGAATGATTAAGCTTTTGAAACGCCACTCTTTAGTTTCTATAATTTAACTTTATAAATTAAACAATTGATTTTAGGGGTTTGCTTGGACTTGAATGGTGTGTTTATTAGGAATTTGTCTAAAATTTACTGTTTGGATTGCTGAGTTTTTCAAAAAAACTAGTTTTTTAAATATACATAAAATTTTTTAAAAAAAATACTCTAAAAAGTAATTTAAATTTTTTTAATGTTTAAAAAATATTTCAAAATATATTCTAAAAGCTTATCTACTCTTAAATATCCCAAAATATTTTCTAAAAATATTCTAAAATATATTATAAAAACTCTGCGACAATAAAATTTTTTTAAAATATCCTCAAAAACAGCTAATCCAAACAACTTGCCCACCACCATAAGCAGCACCTCTGCAACCCACCACCAGCAACCACCCCCACCCATCCCCTCTCTCCGCTTCTGCCTTTTCTCCCTCTTCAAACACCGGCACCCCCTCTTCCCCTTGACTCACCGTGCCATCCCTTCGTCTTCTCTCCCACCCATTGCCTGCTCCTCCCTCCCCCCTACCCACAGTCCCGCCTCCATCGCCTGTCCAATCTAGAAAGAGGGGGGAGGAAAGGAGAAGAAGGGAGGAAAGGCAAGAGGAGGGAGATGAAGGGAGGAGAAAAGGAGCAGGAGATTGGGGAGGGAGGGAGGAGAAGGGAAGAAACAAGGAGGGGGGAGAGGTGGCAGTGGTAGGGAGGGAGGCAGTGTTGGTGGAATGGTGGTGGGTGTTTTTCTAGTGTATTTTTTTTTGTTGGTATTTCTCTTAAACTTGTGGGTGTTTTAGAAGTTACTAAAGATGGAGTTATAGCAAAAAATTGTCTTTCTAAAATACCCCTAAAACAGGGATGCCGAACATATTCTTGAATTGGAGGAAAAGTGTGAACTAGTTAACTTCTTTTTATCATTCATGTCTAAACACTGTATCCTTGAGATAATATGTTATTCATAGAGATTTTCTGGTCTTCTATTCGTGCTAAAAAATTTTAAAACTTTCAAGTATCGCAATTCATTTTCATTTTCCTCCTTTTCTTCTCCCCCCAGCATTCACCTCTTTTTCTTCATGAAAATATTTGCCAAGTGTTCTTCCTAAAATGTTGTTTTTTGGGTGTGACATCATTTATTTTGCAATCAGAGTTGCCTCAGTATCTTTTCTATGGGGGATTTTGCCGTGATGGGGGTGTGATTGGCATAACTCAACCTAGACGAGTTGCAGCTGTATCAGTCGCAAAACGGGTTGCGGAGGAATGTGGTGTGGCTCTGGGCCAAAAGGTTGGATATGACTGATGGATTGCTATTGAGGTACATTGTATCGCTGGTAATTTAGTTATATTTTGATATATCTGTGTTTTTGTAGTTTAAGATAGTTTCAGGATTTACCTAACCTTTTGGGGATTAAGACTATAGATAAACATCTAGAAGTTTGGTAATATCTTGATCTAAAAGACACTGTTTGTAGCAAGCGAGAATCAATTTTTACTGTTGATTGCTTCTTTCAAAATGTGAATACAATTGTGGATAACAGGGAAGCATTATTGGACCAGTGTCTCTCGAAGTATTCAGTTATTATTGTAGATGAGGCTCGTGAAAGAATAGTTCACACTGAGGTGTTGCTTGGCCGGGCGAAGAGTGTGCAAAAAACAAGGTCCAGTGTCAATAAAGTAATGAATGGTCATGCCCAAAATGGGTTGCTAATGGGAGCAGAAAATGATAATAGTTTCTTGATGCCATGCCATGGCAAGAAATCATCTCCTCTAATGTTAATTATCATATCTGTTGGTTTGGATGCATGGGTTTTTTTTTAGTACTTTGGTGGTGAAAAAGAGCTGTTCATGTCCGGGGCCGACGGTGGGTTTTTTTCTTAACAATGTTCAGAGGTAGCAATGTGATACTTAACAATGTTCAGAGGTAGTACACTAGTTTATTTGTGCATTTCCTTTTCTTCTACAAAATATCGTTGATACTTGGTTATTTAGCTGCGTATTTCTATTGTAATGGGCCTGAGCATTGAATGCCTTCAATTACAATACTAAAAATTTATATAGGATTACTACAAAAAAAAAAGTGAAAATATTGAAGCTACAATTTTGAAGAACAAGATGGACTTGGTAAAGCACCTTCAACTCAAAAATATTATTCATCAATAGCATTCATTGAAAGAGGTAAATTTATCGTCTCATGAATCTTTAATTTAGAAAACCTCTTGAAAAAAATAGCCAAACATCATAAAAACAACAAAAAATTACTACTTTTCTGCAACATGCTTTCTACACTTTAAACGCAATTGTTAACAATACAGAGAATAAAGCCGAGCCATACTCCAATGCTTGCAGAGGATGCATCACAAAAATTATCAACTTCGAAGAAGATGCAAAATGCCCCAAATGTAATTATCCAATAAAAGATTTTACACCAAAGTAAGTCACTCAATTAAATGCATGACAAAAAAGCTAGACTTGAAAAAGACAAACCTGAAAAGCACAGTTAACAATTTAATATCATTTCCAAAATAGGTACAATATAAGGATAGCAACAATAATATTATTTGAGGACTTAGCAACTAATTTTATTAGATGTCTAGTTCAAGAATATATGGATAGCACTACATCTTCCAAAGTAAGTTCATAAAAAGTATTAAAATTATAAACACATTAACTCTCATTAGTTAAGCATTTAATTCAAATCTATCTGATTTACAAATACTGAAAACCCAATAAGACTAGGAGAAATCAAAGTTCTATAGCAAAATAATTGTCACAAAGTATAAGGAGTTCAAATTCCTCATCAAGTTGAATAGGATGGACCACTCCTCCAATGAACATCTATCAATAGTGGCAATAACATTCGAACAATTACCAAATACAAACAAAGAAGAAGAGGCCACTCCAGCTATTGCATCTGAACAACATGCTCGGCAAAACATAATAAAAGATAAAAATTAAAAGGTGATTGAAATTGAATATGATGTTCAAAACCAAAAAAGGGAGAGCAAGAAGTGATGCATCTAAACTCAAAACTCAATTGAAAAAGAAGAAAAAAGTCAAGAAAGATTAAAACACTAATGATTATTGTTTCACGTTTAATATCTTCTGTTTTTCTTCATCTTACATTCAATAAGATTGCTATTGTTAGGTCTGGTTCAAGGAAATTGACAAACGAGAATAATAGGGTTCTTGCCAACTCAATGATGATAATAATAAAACAAATAAATCAAACAGAGAAACACGAAATTTATGTGGTTTGGTCCAATTGGCCTACGTCCACGGGCGAAAGGGTTGTAGATTTACTATAACAGAAAGAGAGTACGAAATTCTAAAAAATAATTCTCGGATCCAAAAGGCACCTAAAACTGAAAACACAAAAGAGGTTAAATAGCACTAAATGCTTAATGACCCAAAGACTCATGACTTGCTCTTTTGGTTTGATTCCAAACCAAAACTCCTCTCAGATTGAGGCGCAGACTCCCCAAAACTCTCTTGGACTGGTGCACATGTCACTTGGACTTGGTGCCCTTAGCACAATTAAACTCATTTAACTCCACTATATTTATAATCACCAAAGGGAAATATTTCTCTATAAAAATTTTGATGTGAGATATAAAGACACACTCAACAAATCTCCACCTTAGCGTATATCCAACATCGATAAATAGTAGATAAATAGCAAACAAGTCTCCATAAAAGTCCCAACGGATCTCAACGAATCACAAAAGTCCCAACGAACCACAATGAGCCACCAACGAACCAAGATGCAAAAGGCTCAACAGGTCCCAATGGGTCAAATCTTACAAAAAGGTTCAACAGATCTCAATGGGCTAAAAAACACGAACATAGCAATATTACTCCACATTTTCTCAAAACCCTTAATGAGTTCCAACGGGCCAAATAACTCTTCTTCAAAACCCAACTGAACTCCAATGAATTTTTTTTTTCTCCATTCTCTATAGCATCCAAAACCTATTATTGTCATCAAGAACCCAAAATCTGACCATGACCCAAAACCTGAAACTCTAATACCAATTTGTTAGGTCTGGTTTCAGGAAATTGACAAATGGTAGAGCAACTATTAAGCACCTTTTGCACTGTTATTTTGTCTTAATTTTAGTTACTTACGGTGCTAAGTGTTGAGATTTTGTTCATATTTGATATTTGTGTAAAGTGTAGGTGGTTGGTATAAAAAATGCGCTCGCGAGACAAATTTTCAAAAGACTCTTTATTTCATGGGGTGTCCATGCCAGAAACTGAGGTATACCTAAAAGCCGGACCCGCGGGATTGGTAGCAGCAGGAGGGCAATTAGGAAGTCGGGTTCACGTGAACCGTGAAGGTGTAGGGGATTAAAACTCCTAGAGAAAGGCTTGCTCTCTGACGTTTTCTCTTCTGCTAGGCGGCGGCTACTTGGAGGATATAAAAAGAAAAATCCAGATTCACGTCATATCAATAGATTAGCTTTGGCTTTGTCCCGTTAGATGCTCTTGCTCTCTATTTTGAGCGTGTGGATGAATTTCTTTAAACTTTGTGCGTTGCTTTTACTTTTGGCTCCAGTACGAAGACGATTTCTTTCTCTGCTTTTGCTTTTGACAACTTTCGTGAGACTTTCTCTTGACTTTTCTCCTGTACGAACTCAAAACAAGAAAAGAAACTAAGAGACTTTCTCTTTCGTTCCTTCGTTATTTCATCTTTCCCAAGTCTTTGGCAATTGTATGGATGGAATCAATTGAACCACGCGAAATTGATACGATGAGGAGCGGCTAGGTTTCTCCTCTACCCAAAGGTCGATGCGAGGGCGCGGTCCATAGCATCTGTGAGATCTAATCGAATCTTCATTATTCCTTCCAATTCGTTACTATTCGCGCTTTTCCTGGATTAATTGTGCATGGGTATTTTATTAATTGAGTATTAACGGCCGGATATTTAATTTAATCTAATAGCCTACTGCCACGTTAATTGAATTGAATCCGTAATTATTTGTTTAGTTGACACCTAGTGGCAACCACCATAATTAACTTTATATTGGGAAAACGCGAGATCTAGTTTAAATAAATCCTCTTAACGTATTTATTAGTTAGGGTTGGGTTTTTTTAAGTTTAATGCAACTGGATAATTAAATTCCTACGGTCGTACCTAGGGTTATTTTCTGGTTAGAAAAGTAGTTAATGGTCGTACCTTGACTGTCGAAAAAGTAAGGAAGAACTGACTGTCAGAGCTTGTTGATGGCTATAACCAACCTAATGACAAATGAATGAAATATCTTTACATCGATGATCATTTAATTGGACCGTGCCTGAGAAGTTGATCCTTTGGATAGAATTTTAGTAATTGCTATTTTTAGTAAATTGTATTTGTTGAGTTAGCTTTTGTTTATTTTATTTTCATTTTCACTCTATTAAATATCCCCCAATTTTGTTTTATTGACTTGGAAAGAAACAACTTCTTATCCGTTCCCTGTGGAATCGACCCTACTTGCCATTGTATGCAAATTTAATACTTTTATAGACAATTCTAGTATATCGAATCAAGCAAACTCTTCGGGAACAAGGTGAATCAAGTAAGGCATTGCACACCTAGGATCCTTGCTCCAGTACTTGAATTTGTTCTGTAATTAATTGTGGTGGTAGCTAGAACTTTTTAGTAATTATTATTGCACAGGCTCGACACATGTCAACAAACGAGAATAATAGGGTTTTTGCCAACTCAATGATGACAATAATAAAACAAATAAATCAAATAAAGAAACACGAAATTTACGTGGTTCAATCCAATTGACCTATGTACACGGGTGAAGGGATAGCAAATTTATTATAACAGAAAAAGAGTACAAAATCTTAGGAAATAATTTTCGGATCCAAAATGTACCTAAGACTGAAAACACAAAAGAGGTTAAATAGCACTAAATGCTTAATGGTTCAAAGGCCCATGACTTGCTCTTTTGGTTTGATGCCAAACCAAAACTCCTCTCAGGCACGGGCCCTCCAAAACTCTCTTGGACTGGTGCACATGGCACTTGGACTGGTGCTCTTAGCATAATTAAACTCAATTAATTCCACTATATTTATAATCACCAAAACGAAATATTTTTTTATAAAAATTCTGATGTGGAATACAAAGACACACTCAACAGCTTTGCATTGTTGATTTTTCAAAATTTTGTAACACGCAATTCCTACACTTACTTCTATTCCCAACTCTACATTCCAAAGGTAAATTCATCATAAAAACAAAACAAAATGATATAACTACATATCATCCAACGACGTGCAACGCATGTACAATATTACCAGTAATTAATGAAAGCAGCAATTTCATATTAGATAGTAACAAAGAAAGAGCAGAGACATGTGGAAAGGCCTCAAGTAGGCGGACATTCTTATCGCTTCTAACCACTAACATGTTTTAACCACCAACAAAAATCTCGCATGACTTACACAAATTAATTAAAAAGCAGATTGCATTGGTCCGCTAACTTTCACCAAAAACAAAGGAAAGCTAGACTAACCTTAAACCTGGCACAATTAAAAACCTAATCAAAAACCAAATTCTGAATAAAAGCCACCTATCTTGTCGCTTCTTCACAAGAAATATGAAATGACAAACTTTAAGAAGATAATAGAGTAGGTATACTCTTTAAGTCTAGAAGTCTAGGAGCTTACTTCATCAAGCCTTTAGACATCATTAGTAGGTATCTTTTGCTAAATGTAATTTTTTGCACAAAAGTCGGGAGAATGGAAAAATAAATCCTTAATAGTTAGCAATCTATCATACGGGGTACCAGTGTGTTAATGCTATTTTTCCTCACTTACTAATACTGAGTTTTTGTTGTTTCCTAATAGCATGAGTAGCTATGCTTTCTCCCAAATAGGCATATAAAAGAGTCCAACTCAATCGAGTTTGTTCGATCAAAGTTTAAACTCAAGATTGCATTGACCGAATTCGAGTCTAGTTCAAGAAATGCAATTCATTGAAGAGCTCAAGCCAGATTCCTATATGCAAAGCTTGAAATCATGTCCTTCAATATGTTAATTTACATTTTTTTTAATATTTATTAGTGTGAATCTTCTATTGTATCCCTCTCTTAAAATCATATAAAAAAAAAAGGAACTTACTAAGATTCAGCTTTGCATATAAAATAATAATATTAGAAAATAATAATATATAGATTTTTGCTACTTAATACATATTTTTTTTGTACATATTTAGTTTAAGAATCCATAATTTTAACAATAAAGATATTAGTTTTTAGGTGTTTCGAAAGGAAGAGCAGCCCAAAGTGTTTAAAAGTTGGCAAATTGACAAATACAAGTTATGTGTTCTAATTTCAAGTGTAAATTATCTAAGGAGCCCTAAAACTATCTTAATTGTCAACTTTTGGCTCTTTATCTATTTCAAATCTCAAATTTCCTTCCCAATAATAAAAACTGTCAAATTTAATTCTTCAATTCATTTTCACCATTAGATCTATCAAATTTTGCCCCTATACCTGTCAACTTTAATGGTAGAGAAGGACTAAAGGATCAAAATTTGATGGCTTTTATTGTTGAAGGATCAGTTTGAGACTTCAAATAGATAACGGGTCAAAATAGATAGTTAGAATAGTTTGGGGACTCAATAGTTAATTTACCCTAACTTCTACATGTCCTTCTACATGAAATCTCGCAGTTTTGACACTTGGAAGTGTTGACCATTCACCATAATCCGCAATAGGCTTTGCCTCAAAGACGTCAATTAATGTGGGACAACATGAATTTAGAAATTTTCTGGGCAATATGAGTACTAAAGAAAGGAAATAAAAATAATTTCTAATCTCAGAAAAAGAAAGCAACTAAAGTCTTAATCCGAGAGTACTTGAGTTAGGATCATTTCTATTGAATCTTTCCATTGGTTTCTGTATTTATTCATGTCTAAATTTATATAATGTTATAAAATCATGCTATTATGTCATTAATTTTCTTTTAACCTCCAGATCAATATATGAAAAAATAAAATTTTTTTAAGAATATTTTGATATTCAATTTATATCAAACATTTAGACAGTAAAAAATGGGTCAAATTTTTGATGAAATTTGTAATGATTGTTTAGACGGCAAAACTTGATTAATTTCATTCAAAATTTTATATATAACCAACAAAAGTACCAAAATATAGGGTTAATTATATTTACCTCCCTGAGGTTTGATCATATTACCAATCAATCCCTATAATTTGTCCACATAACGGTCTCACCCTTTGAATGATCAAACATTTAACAAAAACCCCCTTAATACCGAAAATGCCCTTATTGAGGCCATGTTACATTAAAAAAAGAACATATTTTTATTTTATTAACCCTGAAGCAATCCAAAAAAATAGAAAAAAGTTTTTGCTTATTATTTTATAAAAACCATATCTTTGCTTCCATAAATAGTTTTGAATCAATAATTATTTTAAATCTTAAAAATGAATATTAAAAATTAGATAAATTGAAAGAAAAATAAAAAAAGAAGAAATTATTTTAATTCCTGGAGTATGGTTCAAATTGAGGAAAACATGCCTTGTGCTCTCCGCAACATGCCTTGAACCACAAATTCGAACCATACTTGAGGGTTTAAAATAATTGTTTATTTTTTTATTTTTCTTTCAATTTATCTAATTTTTAATATTCATTTTTAAGATTTAAAATAATTATTGATTTGAAAACTATTTATGGAAGCAAAGATATGATTTTTATAAAATAATAAGCAAAAACTTTTTTCTATTTTTTTGGATTGTTTCAGGGTTAATAAAATAAAAATATGTTCTTTTTTTTAATGGAACATGACCTCAATAAGGGCATTTTCGGCATTAAGGGGATTTTGTTAAATGTTTGATCATTCAAAGGGTGAGACCGTTATTTGGACAAATTACAGGGATTGATTGGTAATATGATCAAATCTCAGGGGAGGTAAATGTAATTAACCCTAAAATATATTATGAATAAGGTTGCTTCATTCAGGCGTAATGTAAAAGAGTTTTCTCCAATACAATAGAAATAGAGCCTAATTCAGAGTACCTTGCCTTAATCTTTAGCCTTTCCTTGGAGATAGAAAGGTTTCTTGGTTGACACTCAAATGTGCTATTAAGGAAAGAAAAAAGAAAAAAACATGTGCCGTTAAATCCATAATAGATAATACTATACATAGGATTCGGTTATAACTAAACAAAATCTTTTGAGGCGGTCAATTCGGCTCTATATATATATATATCCATAGCCTTAAATCCGCCTACAGTTATACTTGCAATAATTACTTTAGTAAATTCCGAACAAAGATTAATAACCGTCGCCAAGCAAAGAGGAGAAGCCGTCACGCCGCCGTAGCTTCTAGCTATGTCAGATTCCGGTGGTGGAGCGGAGGCTCGCGCCCGTTCCAAACAGTATGAGTATGGAGCCAACTCCAGTCTTATCCTCACTTCCGAGTCTCGCCACCCTCGTGACGCCCAGGAGCCCTCCGGCGAGCCCGAGTCCCTTCGAGGCAAAATAGATCCCAGAACCTTTGGTGATCGTGTCTTCCGGGATGAAGAGTCGAAGAAGAAGGAGCGAGAATCGCTAGCTTCTGAAGCGAATTCCGGGAGGGAGAGTAAGAAGAGGAGGATTGTTCACGAGGAAAGTGTTTTTACTTTGATTGACGAGGGTGTTTATCAACCTAAAAGTAGAGAAACCAGGGCGGCCTATGAGGCCATGCTCAGTTTTATTCAGCAACAGTTAGGTGGGCAGCCTGTTAATGTTGTTAGGGGCGCTGCAGATGAGATTTTAGCTGTTCTTAAGAATGATAATCTCAAGAACCATGATAAGAAGAAGGAGATGGAGAAGTTCTTGAGTAATCCTATCCCCAACCAAGTGTTTGATCATGTCGTGTCTATCGGGCGGCTCATTACTGATTACCGAGATGCTGCTGCGGGAGGGGATGATGGTCTTGATGATGATGATGTTGGAGTTGCGGTTGAATTTGAGGAGAATGAAGAAGTGGATAATGGATGTGTGTATGATTTGGTGCAGGAGGATGAAGAGGAGGAAGATGATGGAGTCTACGTGAATAATTGCACCAATGGTGCTGGTGCAATGTGGATGGGTCGTGGGATTGATGATGATGATGACGAGATGCAGGATGCTAGGGATGAGGAGATGGCCTTGAATGTTAGGGACATTGATGCCTATTGGCTTCAGAGGAAGATTTCAGAGGCTTATGGGGACCAGATTGATGCCCAGCAGAGCCAGAAGCTTGCTGAGGAGATCCTCGAGATTCTTACTGAAGGTAATGACTGTGATGTTGAACTTAAACTTTTGTTGCATATGCAGTTTGATAAGTTCAGTCTCGTCAAGTTTATGTTGCAGAACCGGCTGAAGATAGTTTGGTGCACTCGTTTGGCAAGGGCTGAAGGCAAAGAGGATAGGAAGAAAATTGAGGTGGAGATGGTAGCGCAGGGGCCAGATCATGCTGCAATTCTGGAACAGTTGCACAGCATCCGGTCCAGGGCTACTGCAAAAGAGAGGCAGAAGAACCTGAAGAAGAGCATTAGAGATGAAGCACTCCGATTGAAGGATAAGAAAGGACGAGGAGATGGGCAACGTGAAAGAATGGTGTTAGCCGATAGAGAAGCTGATGGTGGTTGGCTGTCAGGGGAACGTCAGTTAATTGATCTTGACAGCCTTGCTTTCCACCAGGGAGGTCTTTTTATGGCAAATAAGAGGTGTGAGCTTCCAGGAGGTTCTTTCAGGAATCAAAAGAAGGGATATGAAGAAATTCATGTACCAGCCTTGAAGCCGAAGCCATTAGCACCTGGTGAAGAACTAATAAAGATCTCTTCCATGCCTGCCTGGGCGCAGCCGGCTTTCAAAGGAATGGCGCAGTTAAACAGGGTTCAAAGTAAAGTTTATGAAACTGCCCTTTTTAGTGCAGATAATATTCTTTTATGTGCTCCCACTGGTGCAGGGAAGACCAATGTTGCTATGCTCACCATCCTTCAGCAGATTGCTTTGAATAGAAATCAAGATGGTTCTTTTAACCACAGCAATTACAAAATTGTCTATGTTGCTCCAATGAAGGCATTAGTTGCTGAAGTGGTCGGTAACCTCTCCAATCGTCTCCAGGATTATGATGTCAAGGTGAAAGAGCTGAGCGGAGACCAGACACTGACGCGTCAACAGATTGAAGAGACTCAGATCATTGTTACAACACCCGAGAAGTGGGATATAATAACCAGGAAATCAGGTGACCGCACCTACACCCAGCTTGTGAAACTGCTAATCATTGATGAGATACATCTGTTGCATGATAACCGAGGTCCTGTACTGGAGAGTATTGTTGCAAGAAGTGTTAGACAGATTGAGACCACCAAAGAGCACATAAGGTTGGTGGGCTTGTCAGCAACACTTCCAAACTATGAAGATATAGCTTTGTTCTTGCGCGTTGATGCTAAGAAAGGTCTCTTTCACTTTGACAATAGCTATAGACCCGTTTCTCTTGCGCAAGAGTATGTAGGAATCTCCGTAAAGAAGCCGCTGCAGAGATTTCAGTTGATGAATGATGTGTGCTATGAGAAAGTAATCAATGTTGCAGGAAAGCATCAGGTGCTTATTTTCGTGCACTCCAGGAAAGACACTGCCAGGACAGCTCGTGCAATACGTGATGCTGCACTTGCTAATGATACTCTTGCTAAATTCTTAAAAGAGGACAGTGCAAGCCGTGAAATTCTTCAGAGTCACACGGAGCTTGTCAAGAGCAATGATCTCAAGGACTTACTACCTTATGGTTTTGCAATTCATCATGCTGGTATGGTCAGAGCTGATCGTCAAATTGTCGAGGATCTTTTTTCTGGTGGGCATGCACAAGTGTTGGTTTCCACGGCTACTCTAGCGTGGGGTGTCAATTTACCAGCTCATACTGTGATTATCAAAGGTACCGAGATATACAATCCTGAAAAGGGAGCGTGGACTGAACTAAGCCCCCTTGATGTTATGCAGATGCTTGGCCGTGCCGGAAGGCCTCAATTTGACACTTTTGGGGAAGGAATTATTATAACCCGACATAGCGAGCTACAGTATTATCTGTCTTTGATGAATCAGCAGCTTCCCATTGAAAGCCAGTTTCTGTCGAAGTTAGCTGATCAGTTGAATGCAGAAATTGTCCTTGGAAGCGTTCAGAATGCTAAAGAAGCTTGCACTTGGCTCGCTTATACTTATCTTAATCTTCGCATGCTTCGGAATCCTAGCCTTTATGGTTTAGCTGCTGATGATGCCCTTGCTGTTGATAATATGTTGGAAGAAAGGAGAGCTGATCTGGTACATTCAGCCGCAACACTATTGCACAAGAATAACCTAGTGAAATATGACAGGAAAAGTGGATATTTCCAGGTCACTGACTTGGGACGCATTGCCAGCAATTACTACATAACTCATGGAACAATTTCTACATACAATGAGCACTTGAAGCCAACTATGGGGGACATTGAGCTTTGTCGTCTGTTTGGCCTTAGTGAAGAATTTAGGTATGTGACAGTGAGACAAGATGAGAAGGTTGAATTGGGAAAGCTTCTGGACCGTGTCCCTATTCCTATCAAAGAGAGTATTGAGGAGCCTAGTGCCAAGATTAATGTTCTTCTTCAGGCATACATTTCGCAACTGAAGCTTGAAGGTCTCTCTTTGGCATCTGAAATGGTGTTTATTACCCAGAGTGCTGGGCGTCTTATGAGAGCATTGTTTGAGATTGTTCTAAAGAGAGGATGGGCCAAATTAACAGAGAAGGCATTGAAGTGGTGCAAAATGATTGACAAGAGAATGTGGAGTGTCCAGACACCACTCCGTCAATTTCATGGGATTCCAAATGAAATTTTGATGAAGTTGGAGAAGAAAGATCTGGCTTGGGAAAGATACTACGACCTCTCCTCACAGGAGATAGGAGAACTCATCCGTTTTCCTAAGATGGGGAGAACTCTCCACAAGTTGATTCATCAATTCCCAAAGCTTAACTTGGCGGCTCATGTCCAACCAATCACTCACTCAGTTTTGAAGGTTGAGCTCACCATTACACCTGATTTCCAATGGGACGACAAAGTACATGGATTTGTGGAACCATTTTGGGTAATTGTGGAGGATAATGACGGGGAAAATATTCTCCATCATGAATATTTCTTGCTAAAGAAACAACATATCGATGAGGATCATACTTTGGATTTCACAGTCTCAACGCATGAACCACTGCCTCCCCAGTACTTCATTCGCGTTGTGTCAGATCGATGGCTTGGGTCACAGACTGTCTTACCTGTTTCTTTCCGGCACCTGATTCTGCCAGATAAATATCCTCCTCCCACAGAGTTATTAGACTTGCAACCCTTGCCTGTGAGAGCTCTAAGAAATCCATCTTATGAAGCTCTATATCAAGAGTTTGAGCACTTTAATCCTGTCCAAACTCAGGTTTTCACTATCCTGTACCACTCGGATGACAATGTCTTAGTAGCTGCACCCACTGGTAGTGGAAAGACAATATGTGCAGAATTTGCCATATTGAGAAATCACCAAAAAGGTTCTGAAAGTATCCTGCGTGCTGTGTACATTGCTCCTATTGAGGCTCTTGCTAAGGAGCGGTATAATGACTGGAAAAGGAAGTTTGGAGATGGGCTAGGGATGAAAGTGGTTGAATTAACTGGTGAGATAGCGACAGATATCAAACTGCTTGAAAGAGGTCATATAATTATTAGCACTCCAGAGAAATGGGATGCTGTATCTCGCCGTTGGAAACAGAGGAAGCATGTTCAGCAAGTTAGTCTTTTCATTGTTGATGAACTCCATCTGATTGGGGGCCGGGGTGGGCCTATTTTGGAGGTTATAGTTTCTAGAATGAGATATATTGCAAGTCAGCTTGAGAACAAGATCAGGATTGTAGCTTTATCAACTTCTCTTGCTAATGCCAAAGATTTGGGAGAATGGATTGGAGCGAACTCTCATGGTCTTTTCAACTTTCCTCCCGGTGTGCGACCTGTACCCTTGGACATACATGTTCAGGGCATTGATGCTGCTAATTTTGAAGCCAGGATGCAGGCCATGACAAAACTCACTTATACTGCTATTGTCAAACACGCCAAGAAAGGGAAACCTGCAATTGTGTTTGTTCCTGCCAGGAAGCATGCCCGCTTGACTGCTGTGGATCTGATGACTTATGCAAGTGTGGACCCCGACAAAATAATGTTCCTTTTACAGTCTGCAGGAGATTTGGAACCTTTCATTGATAGAATTAAAGAACCTACATTGAAAGAGACGCTTCGGTATGGTGTGGGTTATTTGCAGGAGGGCTTAACTGGTACTGATCAAGATATAGTCAAGACTCTGTTTGAAACTGGAGGGATTCAAGTGTGTGTTATGAGTAGTTCAATGTCTTGGGGAGTGGCCTTGTCTGCACATCTAGTGGTGATTATGGGCACTCGACATTATGATGGCAGAGAAAATGCTCATAGAGACTACCCTGTTACTGATTTGCTGCAGATGATGGGTCATGCCAACCGACCTCTTGTTGATAACTTGGGGAAATGTGTAATCTTCTGTCATGCGCCACGTAAGGAGTACTACAAGAAGTTCTTATACGAAGCATTCCCAGTTGAAAGCCATTTGCATCATTATCTGCATGACAATTTGAATGCTGAGGTGGTTGTCAAGGCCATACAAAACAAGCAGGACGCTGTGGATTATCTAACATGGACATTCATGTATAGGAGGCTCACCCAGAATCCAAACTACTATAATTTGCAGGGTGTTAATCACAGACATTTATCTGATCACCTGTCAGAGCTTGTTGAAAACACAATAAGTGATCTTGAAGCAAGTAAATGTGTTCTTGTTGAAGATGATTTCTTACTTTCACCTTTAAATCTTGGCAGGATAGCATCGTACTACTATGTGAGTTACAGCACAATTGAACGTTTTAGTTCTTCTTTGAACTCCAAAACCAAATTGAAGGGTTTACTGGATATCTTGGCTTCAGCTTCAGAGTATGAACAACTTCCAGTTAGACCAGGTGAAGAAGAGCTGATTAGGAGGTTGATTAATCACCAACGTTTCTCATTTGATAACTCAGAATGTACTGATCCTCAGGTCAAAGCTGATGCTTTGCTGCAAGCTCACTTCTCTCGGCAACTTTTAGGTGGAAATTTGGCATCTGACCAGCAAGAGGTGCTTATATTTGCTCCAAGGTTGCTCCAAGCCATGGTTGATGTTATTTCCAGCAATGGTTGGCTTACTCTTGCCCTTCTCGCGATGGAAGTGAGTCAGATGGTAACTCAGGGCATGTGGGAGCGCGATTCCGTGCTCCTGCAACTCCCACATTTTACTAAGGAATTGGCACAAAAGTGCCAAGAGAACCCTGGAAAGAGTATAGAGACAGTTTTTGATTTGGTGGAGATGGAGGACGATGAAAGGCGCGAGCTTTTGCAAATGTCCGAGTCGCAGTTGTTGGATATTGCACGATTCTGTAACCGTTTCCCTAACATTGATTTAGCATATGATGTTCCTGACAGGGATAATGTGAGGGCTGGAGAAAACATTAAGGTGCATGTAACTCTGGAAAGAGATCTTGAGGGGAGATCAGAAATTGGACCTGTTGATGCTCCTAGATATCCCCAAGTTAAGGAAGAAGGATGGTGGCTTGTGGTTGGTGACCCTAAAACTGACCAATTGCTTGCCATTAAGACGGTTACCTTTCAGAGGAAGTCCACAGTCAGACTCGATTTTGATGCTCCTGCTGAAGCTGGAAGAAGGAATTACATGCTATATTTCATGAGTGACTCCTATTTGGGATGTGACCAGGAATATAGTTTTATCATTGATGTGAAAGAGGCAGCAACTCAAGAAGATAGCGGAAGAGAATGACCATCTGATCTTGTATTGACATGTAGTATGATTTGCTAAATTGTAAGTCAGATCGTTTTTCCATTCATTTTGCTCAATCTTTACATTTTGTTGACTTTGAATTGCTTGGGAAATAAATGCTGATTTTGAACTACATTATTTTTTTTTTTTTAATTTCGAATTTGCCTTTAATCTTTTAACATTTTTTAGGGTAAATTTAATTTAATGTTCATTTATAATAAGCGACTGTAAATCTAAGTACAACATTACCAAGTGATAGATACAAACTTGAAAATCTCTAAAATCAAGGCGATGGATTATCCGTTAGTTTAATTTGTGGCTTAAATTGTATGTTGCTTAACATAGGATTTGTTTTAATTTATTAACTCAAGTACGGGCAGAAAAGGGAATTTGCATTAGCAATAATAACATTATGGAGGTACATTTTTTCCTTGGTTAAACAAAAAAGTGAACTTATATTTTGAGTCAACTCTTCCTCTAACTTGAAATGTCTAATTGCTATCATATAAGGGAAACTTGCTCAATCAATTTTTGTTTTCAAGCATAAATGGCCAAATTAGTCCATGGCCACACACTGTTTGTCCAAAACTGCCATTTTCCCTTCGAAAAAATAGGAATAATTTGCTCACGCAGTTGGCCACAATGTAGGCTTCATTTATGATAGATCACATGTTACATTCTATTTAAAAGTTCTATTTGCTTTTGACCATTGTTGCCTTTTACAGGTTGCAGAGTTCTGTTGTTTTCTAGCAAAAGTAACCATTCATTTCCCAATAAATACATTTAAAATCAAAAGTGATAAAGAGATATCTCCACACAATATTTGTTTCATCCAAAACCACTATGAGATCATTTATTTTCTCTTAATTGCTGAAATCATTGATTTTTCCAGCCTTATGAACCATTTCTCCAAAATCTTAAGTTCTGATATTTCAATTTTAACCACTAAACCAAGGCTTCATCAATAACTGAAAAATACCTTATTAACCTGTTTGTGTAATCATTGATATTCTCTTATTTCTGTCCAAAAAAAAAAACCCTCAACTACAGCTGAGCATGAGATCCATTGTTGTGTAAAATGACACTTTCTTGCTCCATACAGGACTGAGGGATGTCTCACATCTTTCTATGGTAACCAAGGAATTGATTCACCTAATGTGGAAAAGATAGTGCAGAGATTATGCAATCATGCTTGCTTCATTAAGCTGTTTAAGTCACTTATCTGTACATACTTAAGGCGATAATAAATACGAAAGTTGAAGTCAATAAGATAGGGATCATCAAAATACCAAACCATCCAATGTAAAGACGGTTTTCAGTGCCGGTTATCCAATTACAGAAACGACCCCATAGGTTTTCGTTTTCGCGTCTCTCTAAAATTGCAGTCATGGTAAAATTTTGGTTTATTTAATTATTTAATTATCAAGGACTTCCAAGCACACAAATTCTCTATAAATAGAAAGTGGAAGGCTTGTTATTCAACACACAAATTCTCTATAAATAGAAAGTGGAAGGCTTGTTATTCAACAATATAACACGCCTTATATACACGTGTCAAACAATATCGATCTATTCTAATTTTTTGTAAAAAAAAATGAAATAAATAAAATAATGTTGGATTACAAAAATCAAATAAGGATTTCTATACATATAATTTAATATGACAATAGGTTGCTCGGGATTCGAACCCGGAACTAGTTGAATGGAGTAGAAATTTTCTTTGTTAAATTAAAAAAGTAAACGTACCCCCAAAGCCGTGCTTCAACAAAAACACATTTTTCTTTTTTTTTAAATTTTTTTAGGAGATCTATTTTGGAATTTCTCTTTTGCATCTTCTTTTGGTCAAGCTAGGCATTCGGCTTATTTCCTCTCAAACTCACGGATTCACAGTTTAAACTAACAAGATAAGATCTACAGAATGAATCCTCCAACTACATTAAGAAGGAATTATCCATCAAGGAGGTATTAGATCAAATAATACAGTTTCAGTCTGGAAACATTGTAAGTCCTAGATATGACAAGAGACCTACAAGGAGTTTACATCAAATTAGACAGCAATAATTATACAATTTCTTGAAATGAACTCAAAGAATTCCTTCTCGAGTCTGGACAAGCAACCTTCAGCTTCCAGCTGCTCTTGTTCACCTGAAGCGTCATATGAAACAGTGTTAGCTTGAGCTCAACAATCTTTGTGTGTACACGGAATTTCAGGAAAGTAGTTTCTAGGAAAGAAGTTTCAAATAAACATTTTTCCAAGAGATGAATTAGTCCAACAGTCGAGCTATACTGTCACAAATATCCCAAATTAATTTACTTAACACCAGGCTATAATAGTATTAAAAAAATGTTCCTGTAATTACGGTAAACTGAGGGTAAAGAGACTGAAGCTATATGTTAGTATAAGGTCTCAGAAGAAATTAATAATCAATGAAAGCAAGAGACTTGAATCACAAATCCAGAGTTCATGCCACCCCATGACTTAATTATTTGTGCATTTGACAATACACAACATATATGGAAAATCCAAGCTATGGAGAAAGCAACATCTCAAAATCAAGACTGGCAAAATAGTTAGCGATCGAAGTGCTCCCTGGAATAACAGAACCAATTCTTGGGGTTGACTGTTGAAACCACTTCAAACTATTTAGACAGGCTCAATAATTCAAGAAGGAAACACAGAATTTTTGGCTTTTGTGAATCACACAGGTTATAATCAATGGAAAGATAATGGCTGGGATGCATCGAGTGGTGACAAATTCAACTTTCTCAAGGACTTCACCTGCAACCTTTGTGACTTAACCTGACCATAGCATTCTACAAGATAAAAACCTAATAAAAAAATTTCACTAGATTTGACAAACATTATTTGATAATGCACTTGAATCTCAGTTAGCACAAGGAAAGCTTTTCCCGATATAATTGTGAACCAGTTGCTAAGCAACCAGTCAATAAGCTTCCCAATATAATTATGACCAAGTCAAAGCAACCAAAACATTTCATCAACCCAATAAAAAGATTTCAAGTTTTCTAATGGAAGCCCAACGTCAGAGGGCAAGAATTAAGAACTCAAGGAGCCTCTGCCTATGAATAGGCTTAGTGACACTTTTTCCAGCTTCAGGTCAGTAAGTGGGATTGAATTAGAGACTAATATCTGGAAGGACAAGCAATCTCCACTCGGCAAATAGAACTGAGGCGGCTGCAGATTCTTTGGTTGGGAGAAACAATAAAAAGTGGCAGCTGAGAGGTTCTGGAAGGTACTGATCCCATGGATTATGTTGTCAATCACATTCAACTATGAATCAGACCCAATGGAGTTCTAATTATTCTCTCAAAATAGAAAAGCCAGCTAAGGGATTATAGACTTCTTTCCTTACCTTATTTTAAATTTTTTAAGGATAGATTTCAGTCTTACTCCCTCCTTTACCAATGCAGTAAATGGATGTCAGCTTTCCTTTTTTTAGATTGCAGGGACATTTTAGTATTAGATTGGTGACAACTTAATTTGTGGTCTGAACTTTAGAGCTTCAGATACAGAACTTAATGAACCCCTTCAAGCTATTTACACCAATAATTCCTGGGGTTAACAGAACTCATTCATGAGGTTGACTTTTGAAACCAGTTCAAGCTAAATATTCAAATTTTCAGCTTAATCTGAAACACAGACCATGGCATGAATAAACAGAAATACAACAAATTTTAATAACCACTGGCATATATGTTTTATTGTATATGAAGAGATCTGTATACACATAAATACTAAGAGGAACTCCATAAAAATTAGTTGCACACAAATGTTTTCACACTTAATTTTTCCAAATTAGATATTGAAAAAAAAAAAAGAAAAAAAAAGAAAAAAAAAGTGGAAGGATCATAGTTTTGGCAGTTTCTCATTTTCACTCTCCCTTGGTGGTTTCTCTACTCACCATGTTTCAAAGGCAGAGATTTAGAAAAAAAAAAAAAGGGGTGGGGAAAGGTTTGAGATGGAGATATTTAGTTTAGGTGGGGGGGGAGATTAGCATACAAGGGAAGTACCACTTAATTCTCTTTTAAGCACACTTCTCTAAGACATCTTGACACTTGGCTGAACCATGCAAGCAAACCAAGTTTCAGTTCAAGGAAGTCTTCTTCAATTCCTTTCAATGGCCTGATTTTGTGTATTTATTTGGCTACATTTCTTTTCCTAGAAGCAAGAGTGTCTTATTCAGAGGCAAGGAATATGTACGTGCACTTTCATCATGTACTTTAGGTCATTGAACATGTATACATATTTCACATAATTAAATATAGCACAGCACAGATACACATTACAGTATAATATGTTTAACTGAAACATTTACTAAATGTGATTTAAACTCACAGCAAAAGAAATCCAAAGAAAGATATAAATGCAAAACAGCACTTAGAAAATAAATAAATAATAACTTTATCTTAAATCTAAACAGCTTTTTTCATATTATTATCATCATCATCATCACCACCATCATTATTTTCCTTCCAATCCTTTCTCTTTCAAGTATTATACTAAATTATCATCTGCAATTACGTCCATAACAGAGATCTTCCTTTAGCAGGCCTTTAGACATCTGTTATATAGGAAGAATGTGCTCCATATGAGCTGCTTAAGCACATAAAGGATTCGTTGCTTAATTTTTCAATCATAATTAATAAAAGCAGCAATTTCATCTTGGATAGTAACAAAGAAAGAACGGAGACACGTGGAAAGGTCTCGAGTAGGTGGACATCCTTATCTCTTCTAACCACTGACACGTTTTAGCCACCAACAAAAATCTCGCACCACTTACACACATTAATCAAAAAGTAGATTGCGTTGGTCCACTAACTTTCATGAAACAACGAAGAAAAGCTAGACTAACCTGAAACCTGGCACAATTAAAAACCGAATAAAAAACCAAATTCTGAATTAAAGCTGCCCAACCTGTCGCTTCTTCACAAGAAATATGAAACGACAACTTTAAGAAGATAATAGAGTCGGTATATTCTTTAACTCCAGGAGCTTCCTTCATCAAACCTTTACACATCATAAGATGAAAAGTATGTACAACATAGGAGTTGTTCGAGTTTTTGGGTGATACAGCAAGTCAGGCAAAAAGAATTTTAGACAGTAAAAATGCA